ACTCTTTTAACATGGTGAAAGGCATATTTCCCTCTTTGCATTCGCATTGTGACACAATGAATGGATTTCTTTTTGTCTCACATCACAGATCATTAAATTTGCATAGGTTCAAACTCTGTGCACTATGCAAAATGCAGCAGCTTAAGAGCCATATTAAGATTAAACACGGCTTCAAATGAATATTACTCTGTGTCTACTAAATGTGCTAATGGGGGACATTATACTAACAATATAGCCATATCAATTGAAAAAGGTGATATGTCAGTTGTTACGTTTGCAGCTTGTTCTAATTTCCATTTCACGTTTGGTTGACAAAAACAATCATTTTGATTTACACAGAGCCTTCATCTCTTTGTTATTACGATATTGGACTAAAAGTAATTACTAAAATCTCTCATCACGGCAACATCATTACAGTAAAGTGTGTCGAGGCAAGAACCTCAAGTGGTCAAACAAATAGTCTGATTCTAGGCCAGGGATCGGTTGCACAAAACACCGTAAGTTTTCTCCTTGTGTAATTTCTATTTAGCTGGGGAACTTACACAGTTGCACAGAATCCCCTAAAAGGTTTCCTTACTTAAAGAAAACATTAACCCATAAACCCAATTATTGCATTTCAAAGATATTTTACACCGGTACAAGTTTCCATGGAGATTGTTGATTTGCCTGGACTCACGCTTGTCATGCCTGTTATCGTCTCACAAAGCTGTCTTATAGTAAGACAGTGAAAAAATGGCAGAAGAAAAGAAAACCACATTGGTTAGAAGAGGAACAGATCAAACTTCTGGAGGAATACAATCATAGAAACCACATACTACAAAGTAAATTTGATCCCCAAATACCAGAAAACAGAAAATGATTGTAGGATGACCAACGAAAATTAATTTAGTCAAATCTGTACTGTAAAATTAAAAGTTTTTCCATTGGGTTCTCCTGGTCACAGAACGCTCTTCTCAGGGTGTGTTAGTCTTTTTTGCAATTATCACCATAAACTTTGTCATGCAGTTAAGATAGAGTCAGAGGTACCTTACTTTTTTTATTATTTATTTATTTATTTTTAACCTTGCTTTAGTTGCTATGGTCTTTTGTGCAACAGTCTAAGGATTCCTTAAGTATAAGACCAAAACAGGGAGAAGACCATACATACTTTACGGAAAATTTTCAGGAAACCTTAAGCAGAAGACTTAAGAGTGCATTGTGCAACCAGTTTTATTATGAGGAAACCTTAACAAGGACTTAAAGGAACATCTTAACTCAAGGTCCCTGGAATTTTCAGTTTAATAGGCATTTTATAAACATTTCTGCCGTCTACAGCTGTCTACAGCTGTTTTCAGCTGTTTCACAATCAACCAATAGCACAGAGACATACCTTCCCTGTCAGCCTTTTATCTTACTGCTCCTCATTTTAAATATGGTTCTTTCTCTGCCATAGTTCTTTTTTGCTGCAGTGGTGCGCGCCCTCCACCTTCGCATCACCACCTAGTCTTTGCGGATTCATCATCCCCATCCGCCTCAGCAGTCAGCAGCCTCAAAATCATCAGCCACGACCACCACCTCCAGTGTCTGGACTCCATTGAAGGATTTATTTTGCTGCCACTCAGATGCGCCAAAGATTTTTGTTAAATCTTAATCATCACAAATCATCTCTTTATCTGTACACTCATATTCTGTATTAAATATTATCTTTACCTCATTCTTCTGTCTCACCTGATTGAACTGCATATTTGGGTCTATGGAGCCTTACCCAGAAATCTCTGGCTGAGCCAGGTGACTGCACAAGTTGAAAATAAATTACTCAAAAAGGTCTTATAGAGATCTTAAATTACTTTGGATCAAATGGATCGAATTTCTGATTATAAAGAAAAGTACATTTCTGAGTGTTTTTGGAGAGGCCAGCACTTAAAATCATTACTAAAAGTACAAAGTGGTCCTTGATGGAAATTACAGACACAGTGCAAGGAATTAAGGTATACTTTACTTACCATATAACAATTTGTATATGAAGTACTCACTCTGTTTTACGTTGGATTTATGAAGAAAGCCAATTTTTTCTCATGTCTCCAAGTGAATGAAGATTCCAAAAAAGTTCTTGATGAATTAAAGCCATAGGGATCCAGGTTTAACAACAGCACAACCATATCAAAACATCCATTTACAAACTCTCACACAGCTCCTGCAGTATAATACAAGCCTCATTCATCCAGTTGTATGCTCCGTACTTCCCACACAGACAGCTCTTTTCGACAGGGAACTGAACTAAAAGTGAAAGTTATCTATGCTCTCTTCAAAGCCAGACTCCATTGACAAAAAAACAGTTATTTTGCCTCACTGACCTCGGGAGCTGCTGCTCTACTACTGCCTCAATCAATAGTTTGTGTTATGGTGTAACTTTGGTGAATCTGAACTAATCTTTTAAAACACCAAAGTCACACAGCAACACAAGCAAACTACAGTAACTGATGGAGGCAGTGGTACACCAGCAGTTCCTGTGTTCAGGGAGGTAAAATAACTGTTTTTGAAGAGAGCATCAGTGTAGAGCTGTCTGTTTGATAAGTACAGAGGATAAGACTGGATGAATGAAACTTAGATTATACTGCATGAGTTGCATGACAGTTTGTCAATGACTTCAATTCATCAAGAATTCCTCTGTTTATAGATTCTTTGTTCACCGTAGAGGCATGCAAGAAAAGCAAAGTTTTCTTCACAAATTCAATGTAACACAGGGTGAGTTCTTCATGTACAAATGATCATTATGTGGGTGAATTATTCCTTTCGCTCTCAGATATGAACAGGAGCCATCTTTTTAGGTTTATGTATCTCTAAATGTTTGTCACTTAACAACGTAATATTTCTTGTTACAGAAGGTAAAGAGGCTTATTCAAGAGACAGCTTGTGGTCTATGATATGTGACCATATTTCCAGTTGTTACAGCTACATAGAGCACTCAAAAGCCTTTACTGGCACAGAGAGTAATGAAAGACTAATGTGAGTGGATTTAAAGCGTTAGGATGAGGTCCTGATGCAGATGATGATGTCTCTCTGGCTCTGGCACCGTTAGCACAGCTGCTATCCAACCTGTGCTCTAATTGGCTCCATTACACATAAAGCCATTTAAAACTTGTGGTGAGCCATTATTTCCATCATCATGTAAAGTTCTGTTTTTGGATGCTATCAGCTTCACTCCATTTGTATCATGTAGCATTGTGGTAAATTAAAAAGCCTAATGTGGACATGGATACTAACAAAAGACTAAACCCATCAGCATCAGCTGAAAGCCTCATCAGCTGCCAAGTGGAGCGGTTTGTACATCAACCAGAACAGAAGCACAACTTATTCAGTCACTGAATAGCACAATACTTTTATTGTGACATGCACCTCGAACACCTTACGATGATGATGGGCATTTGTGTGTCTGTTTGTGACTTCCTGTGAAAGTAGACAATGTCAGCAGTTGTTAGATTTAAATGTGGAGCTTTCCAAAGACGTAAAACAAAAAGCAGCAGGGAAAAAAAGAAACACCCAAGGACTGAAAACAGGAACAATGAATGGAGGTGTGTGAGGTCAGGAAATGGGCTGCCACTAAGATACAAGGCCTTCTAACAGCTTTGTGACACTGCACGTAGGCACACTGGTTCTTTGAGCTACTTTCCAACGTCAGCATGCTTAAATGCTCACCATGACAATGCTAACATCAGGATGTTAAAGTCCAGATGAAACGGCATTTCAAGAGTATCAAGCCTCAGTATCGTGACATATTACCAAATAAAAAGAGACATGCAAGCAAGAGGAACTTGATTTGATCATTGAAAAGCTGGCTTGCCATAACAGTTAGGCCCCAATGATGTAACGCAAATGGAATAGTATCTTATTCTCATTCCCAATGCGTCAAATAAATCTCAGTGATTTTGGCGTCAGATACTGACACACAAAGGCTCCTTTCATGGCAATATGATGCACTGCCAGCTGACATCTGTTTGTAATGCCCCTAGGCGGCATCAGCTTGTAACACCAACATTATAAGAGCTGGAAAAGTCCTATATGGCAGGTGGGAGTGGAGGTGGATGCATCCAGCAAACCCTGGACTTTCACTTGGTGGCCTGCTGTTTACTAACTGTGTGAATTTCAAGCCAGACCATGATGGGGTTTTTTCTGAAGCTAACCACGTGCTATTGTTGCCTAAACCTAACCATGTACTTTTGTCACACAAATACATAAACATAAAGACAAAGTATTTTACCTACATTATAAGTGCATTTTGAAAAAGACTGCATGCATCTAATGAGCAGAAACTGTTAATTTCTTGTAAAAACAGATGTGTATTTTCAAAGGACACAATGCATGTAACAAGTGTAAATTGACAATTTACAATTGCCATCCAGGAACATCAACAGCAAATGTGGGGGGTTACCCAGTGCATCATATTTAGACCTGAAAGTCCACAAAGCGGCAATATTTAACAAGTTGTGATGAGAACACATTGGAAAGTGCAATCCTTAAGGGAATAGAGATGAAGCCCATCATATGCTCCATTTAACCCATTTAACATTAGTTGCTGAAGCAGTATACTGTAAAATGTGAATGTGACCTTCCTCAAAGTGAATATATTCTAACAAGAGGGCCAGTAACCACGTTTTTTTGGTGGGAAACAAAGACAAAACAATGTTGCACGCTGCTGCTAGCTAGCTAAATCTTAGCTCTGTGCAGCTAAAAGTTGCAGGTTAATTGACAGGTGGATGTCATATTATTGGTTGAAACTGTTTGGTAATAGATTAGTTTTACTGTTACTGTTACTATTTAACAGGAGGAAACACTATTGGATGTTCATGTACAGTGGTGGCGGCAGCCGATTTTTATTGGAGGTGCTGGGGGGGAGCTTGACTATTAATTGGAGGTACTAAGGAGTTGTGGATATAGCCTACCAATATAAGCACACAGAGTCCAAATCTACAAAAAATCATGCACACTGTGGAAGGGACCACCAACAACAACCATCTTTGAACAACACGTCTTTATTTTAATTTTGCTGGGCTCCACAATCATCGAGGCAATAGCAGCTGGATATAGCAGCACCTGAGAGAGAGAGACAGAGAGAGAGAGAGAGAGAGAGAGAGAGCGCATATTTTCACGGGCCATAATATACACACTGAGCAATACAAAAGAACGATAGTTCACTGTCCTTAACAGACAGCCGTAAGCCGTTTCAGGACCAAGGACAGTGTCTGTGATCAGCCACGGACACTGTCCTTGGACACACTGTTGGCCCACACTAACGCAACACAACAACACTATCGACTATGCCAGAGTATAATAAAAAATCATTCCGGCAACTGTAATGTATTATCGGGCACCCGATAATACATTATTTATGGTACATTCGCTAATTGATGCATTAGCCTATTCATAGATAGGCTATTAATAATATGACTACAAGATAATGTCACACAATTGAACCAAAACAATTTTATTCAGTGACAGTGAAAAAATGAAATTTTGTTTGAGCATTTCTTGGGGGTGCTACGGGAGTGCTATGGGCTTCTTTGGGGGTGCTGAAGCACCCCAGTGCCGCCTATGTTAAGAATACAAAGGAGCTGATGTTTTGCAGCCTATTGTTTTAGCATCTATAAATAGGTACACGATATGGTCAGTGATCCAATCTAAAAAGGTTGAGAAGACTTTATTTCATCTTGTCTTTTAGCAGATTTAGTTTTTGCCATATTCACCATCTTAGCTTAGTGTGTTAGCATATTAGCATAATGGGCAGTAAATACAAAGTAGGGACTGTAAACTTAATTATTGGACAAATTATATATATATATACAGTACAGGCCAAAAGTTTGGACACACCTTCTCATTCAATGCGTTTTCTTTATTTTCATGACTATTTACATTGTAGATTCTCACTGAAGGCATCAAAACTATGAATGAACACATGTGGAGTTATGTACTTAACAAAAAAAGGTGAAATAACTGAAAACATGTTTTATATTCTAGTTTCTTCAAAATAGTCACCCTTTGCTCTGATTACTGCTTTGCACACTCTTGGCATTCTCTCCATGAGCTTCAAGAGGTAGTCACCTGAAATGGTTTCCACTTCACAGGTGTGCCTTATCAGGGTTAATTAGTGGAATTTCTTGCTTTATCAATGGGGTTGGGACCATCAGTTGTGTTGTGCTGAAGTCAGGTTAATACACAGCCGACAGCCCTATTGGACAACTGTTAAAATTCATATTATGGCAAGAACCAATCAGCTAACTAAAGAAAAACGAGTGGCCATCATTACTTTAAGAAATGAAGGTCAGTCAGTCCGGAAAATTGCAAAAACTTTAAATGTGTCCCCAAGTGGAGTCGCAAAAACCATCAAGCGCTACAAGGAAACTGGCACACATGAGGACCGACCCAGGAAAGGAAGACCAAGAGTCACCTCTGCTTCTGAGGATAAGTTCATCCGAGTCACCAGCCTCAGAAATGGCAAGTTAACAGCAGCTCAGATCAGAGACCAGATGAATGCCACACAGAGTTCTAGCAGCAGACCCATCTCTAGAACAACTGTTAAGAGGAGACTGCGCCAATCAGGCCTTCATGGTCAAATAGCTGCTAGGAAACCACTGCTAAGGAGAGGCAACAAGCAGAAGAGATTTGTTTGGGCCAAGAAACACAAGGAATGGACATTAGACCAGTGGAAATCTGTGCTTTGGTCTGATGAGTCCAAATTTGAGATCTTTGGTTCCAACCGCCGTGTCTTTGTGAGACGCAGAAAAGGTGAACGGATGGATTCCACATGCCTGGTTCCCACTGTGAAGCATGGAGGAGGAGGTGTGATGGTGTGGGGGTGTTTTGCTGGTGACACTGTTGGGGATTTATTCAAAATTGAAGGCACACTGAACCAGCATGGCTACCACAGCATCCTGCAGCGACATGCCATCCCATCCGGTTTGCGTTTAGTTGGACGATCATTTATTTTTCAACAGGACAATGACCCCAAACACACCTCCAGGCTGTGTAAGGGCTATTTGACCAAGAAGGAGAGTGATGGAGTGCTGCGGCAGATGACCTGGCCTCCACAGTCACCAGACCTGAACCCAATCGAGATGGTTTGGGGTGAGCTGGACCGCAGAGTGAAGGCAAAGGGGCCAACAAGTGCTAAACACCTCTGGGAACTCCTTCAAGACTGTTGGAAAACCATTTCAGGTGACTACCTCTTGAAGCTCATGGAGAGAATGCCAAGAGTGTGCAAAGCAGTAATCAGAGCAAAGGGTGGCTATTTTGAAGAAACTAGAATATAAAACATGTTTTCAGTTATTTCACCTTTTTTTGTTAAGTACATAACTCCACATGTGTTCATTCATAGTTTTGATGCCTTCAGTGAGAATCTACAATGTAAATAGTCATGAAAATAAAGAAAACGCATTGAATGAGAAGGTGTGTCCAAACTTTTGGCCTGTACTGTATATATATAATTTGTTTATTTTGTTAATACACAATTTTGTTGTCAATTTTGAGATCACCAAAGTTATTATTATGAATTGATTGATAGCTATTACATGACTGTTTTTAGCATATTTAATGGCAATCCATTCAATAGTTGTCAAGACATTTCACTGTAAACCAAAACACTGAACCTCCTGGTGGTGCTACAGGTAATGTCAGGCCCTCCAAAGTCACTAATCACCCATTTCCACCCAATTAGCTCTGGTTCTTTAGCATCATCAGTGGTGCACAATCAAAAATAAATAGTTGAAGCAAAATTGCTATTTACATAGATGACTTCCAAACTTTTGTTCTGTTATTACATTTATATTATTTTACCGAAAAAAAACAACAACAACCAAGAATTAATAAGACCACTGCATGCTCTTTTTTTTTTCTGACGATTTATCACTTGACTCCTCCATTGGTGATTTCTCCATCCTATATTTCAAACCTGTAGAACATGAAATGACAACCGATGGTTTGAACTTAAGGCAAATAACAACTCGCTATTTTTTGGTTCCAGATGACAACTAACTTTCCTGGTTTTGAACCAGTTTCTTTTGGTCAATATGCTCTGAACGGTTCAAAGTTAGGTGTACACGGGAGATCAGTTTAATCGCCTTTATTCGGGTCCACGCAAGGTTTGGGGGAGGGAAGGTTTCTGATTGGATAGGGGTGGGGCGGATGTTACGTGTTTACATTTATCAGAAGAAAACACTGTAGTCCTCGCTCCGGTTAACAAGATGCTTAACAACGCCGTTCTTAGTGCCTTTCTTGGTCTTGTTTTGCTTATATTCTTGAAGCAGCAGTACGACAACAACCTTGTTCTGCTAATGCTTCATCTGTTGAGGAGGAGAAGGGAGGTAGAAGGTCGAAGAAGGGAGACAGAAGACCGTGCTGTGGCGAATGGAAACCGGTGAGTGCAGCGAGTCTGACTGCTCTATCTCAGCCCGTTGCTATGCGCGCTATATACGTCATCGCGCCAGAAGGGCAAAGAAACGAGCATGCGCAGAAAGACCGGAATGAACTTAAAGAGAAATGAGTGTATACAAGTGCGAGAAATTCTTTCATTCGGAATTAGAAACGGAATATCCCAGCCCCTTACATCGGAATGAATTTTCAATCGCATTGGCCATTTTCAATCTGAATTAGGTGTTTACAAGATCACTTTTAATAGGAACAAACTTTCATTCCGAATGAAAAGGGAATAAAACTGTCCGGCGTGTCAGTATTGTCGACTCTTAGCGCTGTTTGCCAGCTCGTCTGGAGTCCTTAAGCTCCTCACCTGTCCGCTGCTCCTCTCTGGCCTCTCTGCTCCCCCCATGTTTCCGTGTGTGGAGTCTTAAGTCCCTCCTCCTGATAGCCAATTGGTTGCTGGCGACTCCGTTCTCCAGTGCCATTGGTCAGTCTATCAGAAGGTAAAAGCGCTTTACAAGTGAAGGTTATAAACGTAATGAAAAATGCCCCAGCAGGAAGTAAAATAATACAATAGAAACTCAAACCATTTCAATCTAAAACCAAACAATAAAAGACAATAAAATCACGCAGTAAAATCCATCAAACACAATAAAACATGCAGATAAAAACACAACACTAAACTTAAATCATGCACAATAAATACAACGCAAATATGAATGCACAAAAAATAAAACCTATACTTCTGCCGTCATGTCGCTAGTGTGGCTTAAAGTCATACCCTCCACATCAGAGTTGGACTGGCCTGGCTGGCGACATTTCAAATAAAGTTCAATCTTCAACTAGTACATTCAATTTTTCATGATTAGGAGTAGGCTCACCATGGCATTACAGTAAATTGAACTCTTGTAGCTTTAATTGTACCATTTGTTTAATTGGGAATGTGGTTTTTGGCCACCACAATCAAAAACACCATTCTGATATCAATCTAGACTTTAATGAAAATGCGAGAGTAAAACTGTAAATTCTGTCTAAATTAAATGTTTCTGTAATTCTCTTCACATCACCCTGTTATTTTGGCATTAATCAGCACATGAAAACTGAACAGTTAAAAAAAAATACATTTTAATTAAATGTTCCCTCAATCCTTTCCTTTCTCTCTTCACCAGTTACTAACTGACATATGAAAAGAAATGGCATCAGTGTCAACAGGCCCCCCTCTACTCCCATTAAATGCCTGGTGTTATGCTCCAATAAACTCAAATGTGATTTATGCTCATGTGCCGTGTTTATGGAGCCCACCCTGACATCAGAATCAAATCAAATGAGGGCTTCAGCCTCTGATGAGCCCTCTTAGACATGTATGTGCAATGCAGGGCCAAATATCTAATTACATTTTTCAGAAGGTGGAGTAAAAAAGTGAGACAAACAAATCGATATTCAATTAAAGTCAATGTTGAATTTGTGGATCCCACACAGGGGCAAAGGAGTTGCAGCAGAGAGAGATGATTACCAGATTACCATTGCCTGAACGTTAAAGAAATTGACTCCCAGGCAGGAAGAAAAACACCATATTCAGGGTCTTTACCCCATTAACAAATCAATTTTGGGTCACTTCAGCACTGCAATTTAGTGTCATGTTATATAATCACCCCAGCTCTAATTAATTATAAGGGAGAGTTTGAAATACCTGGCTTTAAATTATAGCACTCTATAGTGGCATTTACATCGCTTAGTTTGCTTGCCTCCAGTGATCATTAGGAACAGACAGCTCTTAATGGCTTATTAAGGCTCACTAATTGAAATTAGCCCGCTAATTGTCTTATCATCACTGCTGCTTTTTAATGGCAGGTACAAGACAAGGATACCCTTGAGTGTGAAGCCAGATTGAAAATAGTTTTATGTAGTAGATGCAGACTTTATTTTCAAAGAAACTGTCTGTGGTAGCCCTGAGAAATGTAAAACCTCCTGCCTTGTCTGGTCAAGTTTGGATGAATGGTGCCCATTTGTCTTTTACCTAAACTAATCTTTGAACATCATTAGAGGTTTAGGAAGTGTTCATAGAGGTCTGTTTTTTACCACTCAAAAGCAAAGAGACTTCATCTGTGTCCACCTCATGAACACGCTGATGTGGGGAGCATCTACTGAGATTATTTACTGTACGTGTCCTGGAGCAGCTACAGTGGAATTTTTAGGAATCGGTAGTTAGCCTTAGTAGCAATTGTTACCGTGACTGAGCAAACTAAACCAACAGCCAAATTGCTAAAAGAAAATGTTGCCAGGATAGTGCCACAAAAAACAGTTGTTCTTTACAGAGACATTGTTGTCTTTTAAGACATTGTTGCATTTCCAGTGGGTACAGTGCCACAGAAAGGGGTCAAACTTTACCAAGACCTCATTATTTCTAGTGGGGATAATGCCATGGAAAGCTGAGACATCACTGTGTTTCCAGGAGGAATAGTGCCATGAACAGTATTAGTTCTTTACCAAGACATCGCAGCATTTCCACCTGGCATAATACCACAAAAAAGCAGTTGTTCTTTCCTGTGACATTGCTGCGTTTCCAGCACGGATAATGTCACAGAAAGCGGTTGATCTTTACAGAGACATCACTGTGTTTCCAGCCAGGATAGTTTCATAAAAAGCAATCATTCTATGCCAAGACATCGCTGTGTTTCCAGCGGGGATACTGCTTTGGAAATATGTCGTTTTTTTGCCAAGTCATCACTGCATAGGCATGAATTGGCAGGGATGTGCCACCAAAACTGTGTATTTTAACCAAAACATGATCTTTTCCATAACCAAGGGGTTATTGTACCGAAACCTAACGCCACGTTAACTACAACATAGTTGAAATGCAAGTGTTAGTGTATTCGCTACATAACAATGTACAATGAATATCTGTGGTTTGCAGAAACATACGATGCTAAGATTTATTCTCGCATTTGGGTCAAAACCAAGGTGAATCACACCGAGCAAGCCATATCCAAAAAAAGAAAATACATTTAAAAAAAAATCTCCATTCTTTAATGGATGATAAAATAAAATAAACACAATTTAGTCCAAGAGATAAGACGTTTACAGTATGCCACATCCACACCATATGGAATAGATTATAGAGGTGGGAAAGACTGCCATGTTTGCAGCTTGCAAGTCTTCATTCATTTTGCAGTATATACCATTATTGCTACTGACAGACAAGTCACTTTTTTTGTCTTTTGTACTTTTTTAATTTGCAAGCAAGCCTTCTACACGCTGTGCTTTTAATGTCTAGAAGGAAAGTAATTGCAGGAATCCTACACTCTAGGACACTGTGACAACCTCTTCAAGTGTGTTTACTGATAGCATCAGTGGTGCTGGGTGTGGTTAGAGGTGAAACACACTGGAAATGTCTAACCAGAGGAAATGAAACAAGATTATTCAGGTATTAGTCTTAAAGGGACAGTCCACCCCCAAAATCAAAAATACATATTTTTCCTCTTACCTGTAATGCTGATTATCAGTCAAGATCGTTTTAGTATGAGATGCTGAGTGCTGGAGATTTCGGCCATACAGATGTTTGTCTACATTTCAAAAACTCCAGAGCGATGTCCCTTTCAGAAACCATGTTCCAGCTATTCAACATAATCCATAGACTTTGTTGTGAGCAGGTTCATGTATGAAGTATTTTCTTTCTACTAAAGTACACACTTCAACTGTATCAACAAGCAGAAGGACACATAGATCTACTCATGGGCAAGAGGCCCTTGCTTGTGACAGCACAAGATGTAAACATGAATGGCATCCTAATTAAGCATAATTAAGAAGTAGTTTTTCCAGTTACACCTATTCAGAAATTTATGCCGATGGTTGTCGGAGCTGCTGTCTGTGTGAGACCAGCCAGCTGGCACAACGTTACAATAGTACATTGCAAGGGTGTTTTTTTAATAACTCAGTCTGCAAAAAAATTCAACACTGAATATTAATACATACAGTGATGATGATTGTGATGCTCTATAGCTAGTTGCCAGAACTAATGTGAAAGCAAGCTTAGCTAATGCTAGCGAAGTGGTTCTAGCTGGGCCAAGGTGCTTGCTGTTACTGTTAAGCAACAGGCTAACAGTTGAGCTACAGTTAGCTGTATGGGGGGTGTAACAATAGCGTCAACACTTTTCTTGGAAACCTTGGATTTCTATGGTGAAGACTTTGGGATTCTGTAGCTACACAAGATAAAAAATAAGGCAATCAGGTCGTTAGCCCAATTGGTAAGCCTGTTAGCAATCGTGTCAAGAGATCTTGCTTTTGATCCTTCAAAACGAAGCCATCTGGATGGAAAAAAAACACTACAAAGTGATTAAAATGTCCTTTTTTGTTATTTTGAGCCATTTTCATAACTCGTTCTCCCAGTCACTGATGGATGATGGATGTGATACTGTACAACCATCCGGTTGCCATAGTGGAGCTGCTGAATAGTCCCAAATTCATTAATTGTTTACCATGTCTACCAGCACAGCTAGCACTATATTGGAAAAGCTGTAACAACTGCTTTAGTACCAAAAGACAAAAAATGGGCAGAGCAATATAAGTTGAATATGTTAAAGCCTGGCATCCCAACTTTCACCCAATTTAAGTTGGTATAGGCTTCATGGATAGAGGGATGGGCCCTCAAAACTGTTTTAAACTCTAATGTGAGAACAAAAAACCCAGGCATGAATTATCAAGGACACGAGGACATTCCCATTCAGAAAAAGAAAAACCTCCACAGCTCTGTTTCCAGTTCTAGCTGTCCTACATGACAGGGTGTGTGTGTGTGAAGAGGGACTACACGAGGACAACCACAATACTTTGAAGACCTCCTGAAAAGTTTAAGGATGACCCTCCAGACAGGACACCCTGTCAGGTTGAGAAATCCTCAGCAGCTCTGAAGGACACCATCTCTTTGGGAGCCTTGCAACAGCAAGAACAGCAACAACAACAGCAACAACGCACACACGTACAGGATTCCCTCTGGCCACACAGCTTTATAACTCGGCAGATGTTCATTTTAGTAGTATACTCTGAGATTGGTAGGAGCAGCCACGGAGCTGTGATGAATTTCATTCAACTCGGCATGTGTGCACACAAACACACACTGGCACATATAAACAAACCACAGACCCGGCCTCTCTCTGCAGTCTTTGTCAGCACCTATAACAGAGAAACTATATTCAGCAGCTAGAGGAGATGCATCCTGACAAGATAAAACACTGTTGTGGTGAGGACATGAAGCCCTGTGAGTACATCCAGGAAACGAGGACTGTTTTGTATGTCTATCTTTGTGTGTGTGTTTGTGTCTCTGGGTGTGTGTATTTGTGTGTGTTCCCCTGCGTGATCCCATGTCAAACAACATCTGCATCATTCAGAGTGCTCCTCTGCAGTCTGGCCTTTGGACATGTGGCCTTTAAATATGAAAGCCACCTGTCTATACCATTTTTCCACTAGTTTTCTCAGAGACTAAATGTGAAAGGTGAATAT